GGCTTGATGATGTCCTGGTAGTCGCGCATGGCGAGCAGGTTGACACCTTCGGTGATGACGCAGGCAGGCTCACCCTTGGTGACATCGGCTTCGACGAACGTGCAGTTGCCCAGGCCAGGGATTGACTGGATGACGGCGCTGCGGGCGGCATCCTCGACCAACGGCAGGAGCAGCAGCTTGGATGTTGCGATGTCGTATTGTAATTGAATGCTGCACGAGATGCCTTCGGAGGGGCTGAACTTGAATTTGTGGACCTCGGCAAACTTGCCCTTGATGTCGTCCTCACGCAGCTTGCTTTCTTGGGCCTGGTCTTCGGCGTCTCCTTCATCAGAGGGATCGTTCATTTCGATGTCTCGAGGCTTGGCGTTGCCATCATCATCCTCCTCGTCGTCATCCTGCGCTCGGACCATATCGACTTCTTCGTCCTCGGGACCCTCGTACGAGACCTGGTTAGACCGGTTCTGCGCACCCCTGGCACGCTTGGCGTCGTCGGCATCCTCCTCGTCATCATCGTCGGCCGCTCCATCCTCTCCTTCGCCGCCTCGCACAGCTTCTTGAGTGGTGCCGACAGAGACGCCAATCTCGGGCTGGGCCGTCGAATGATTCTTGAGGGTCTTCTCGTCATCACGCTTCTTGATTTCATGTCTGGTAAGTTTGACCAGCCTGGGAATGAACTTGTTCTGGAGGGCGTTCTGCAGATCCTTGGCCTTGATGGCATATTCGGCCATATATTCTTCAGGCGGGAAGAACGTAATTTCGACATCGTAGATCTTAGCCTTGACCTTGCCAGTCGAAACTCTTTCTTTCACTTGAACCTTGTCAATGACCTCGGCGATGCTGAGCTTGCTGATTGCCTTGGCGAAACGTTCCGAGTGTTCCTTAGACAGCTCCTCGTTCAGTATCAAAGTCATCGTCGGCGTCATAATGTTGGCACTGGCAGTCATGACAATTTCACGCAGACGAGGGATACCCAGTGTGACGTTCTTGGCGGAGTGACCAGCCAAATGGAAGGTATTCAAGGTCATTTGGGTGGAAGGCTCTCCAATAGACTGGCCGGCAACAATACCAACAGCTTCACCAGGATCCACGACAGACTTCATATACTTCATGTTCATCACCGTATTGAATCCCTTCTTGCTGATAACACCAGTGCCAGGCTTCTTCTTATCCTTCAAGACCTGATCCGGGTTGCTATCCTCATACTACACGAAGTTATTAGTATGTGAGAAACAATCGGAAAATCGGAAGTTCCATACCTTTTTAAGGGCTTGCGAGAAGGCCTCGGACGTACTGCCAAGGTTTCCACCGGGGTGCCATATGGACAGGGCTGGATCCATAGCCTCGGGTTTACCTGTCTTGCGCACCTTCTTCATAGCCTCCTTGTGCCAGTTGGCAACCTCCTCCTTTTCTAGGTTGTGGAAGTCGCTCGTCAAGTTGACCTGAGACATGATGGACTTGTGGTTCAATGCCAAGAACTCGAAGTCATTCAAGTGGACCTGTTTCGTGATATCCAGACCGTCCTCTCCGTACAAGAACTGGACAATCGAGCCATCGGACGCTTCTCGGACGGAAGAGTCGTATTCCGCTCTCAACCCTTCCATACCCTTGATCAGACAACGCTGCAGGTAACCGGAACGGGAGGTCTTGACGGCAGTATCGATAAGACCTTCACGACCGGCCATTGCGTGGAAGTAATACTCCTGGGGCTTGATGCCCGTCAAGAAACGACCACAGACGTAACCACCAGCCATAGGATGCGTTTCGAAGGCTCGGAACGAAGGCAGTGTTTTCCCGCTAATCATAACGGGCACACGTCGGCCTTCCAGAACTTGCTGGCCAAGGTTACACGAAATCAGATTGGCGTTGACACCAGAACCCTTGGCTCCGGAAATTGTCATCGACTGCATTTGATTCCACGGGAACGCTTTAACCAGACCTCCCGGGAGACAGCCCTTGGTGATTTCACTTGACAGAGTGGCAGTCCGGGCGTTGGAAACGCTGTCCAAACCGCCCTGCTTCTCGTCATCACGGAGAACGTCTTCCAAGCGTCGCTTCAATTCACCATCCTGGTCGGGAACTGTGGTCTGGTCGAGCGTCACGTACTTCAACGCAACTTCCTTGCCAATTCTAGCAGCCTCTTTCAGCTTCTCTTTGCGTACACGGTCACCCTCCTTCGTCAGCCGAAGGTCGTCAATGCCGCAGGTGAAAGCACGCATGTTCAAGAACCTGGTGAGCAGCCGGCCCAGAATACTCATCAACCGGCCAGCGATGGTGTGGCCATAGATCTCGTGAATGGAATCGATGAAACCGCCAGCGGAGGGACCAATCTGCTTTTTATCAAGAATACCGCAGAGCAACTCTCCGTCCTTGAAGATGACAGTTCCCTCTTCATTGCCTTCGCCCCACCGGTCACCAGGAGTTGATGATTTGCTCTTCAAGTTGAGACCGGCTCTCCCTGGAGGCATGATATTCTTAAGGATCGTTGAGATGATCTGCTTTCCGGTCCAAAGACGCTTGGGCCGAATCACCATAGGTGGCATGAGCTCAATCCGATCCGAGACAGTATGAGAATTCTCCGGCCGTAGACAATTGTACAAAAGCTGATGATAATCTTCCTCTTCAAAGAAGCTATCACGGCAAGTGAACCATGTGCTCATCGAGATATGATCCTGAATCAAACCTCTGAGAGGTTTCCCGGACGTTGCGACCAGATACTGATGATCCGCGTCCGCAAGCATCATGGCTTCGGCTCGTGCCAGCTCATTCTGAGGAAAGTGCATGTTCATCTCGTCACCGTCGAAATCGGCGTTGTAGGTGTTGCAGTTTGCATAGTGCATGCGAATCGTCCTCTCGTTGGGAAGCACACGGGCTTTGTGACCCATGATAGAGGGCTTGTGAAGCGTGGGTTGACGGTTCATGAGCACAACATCACCCGTGGTCAGGTGGCGGTAGACCTTCTTGTTGCGCGAGCCCTTCATCCGCCAGTTAGACGGGGCCAGCAGCTGGTTGGCCAGTGCCGTTCGCTCGTCGAGGCTCTTGAATTTCAGGTTGGTGACCTGTCCCAGTTCGTTCTCAATCGCGGAAGCACCGGGGTATTTGTCGGGGCCGTTGATTACGGCCTGCTTCATTTCCCAGAAATTGTGGTTCGTCACAGGCTCCGGATAGGTCAGCTTCTTTGCAAAGACAAGCGGAACACCAATCTCATTGGTCTCGATGTTAGGATCGGGCGAAATGACACTTCGGGCGGCAAAGTTGACACGTTTGCCCATCATGTTCTTCCGGAACAGACCCTCCTTCTTTTCCAAAATTTGCTTGATGCCGTTGGGGGCGCTGAGAAGGGCTGACCCGGAGAGTCCGCTACGATCGCGGTCGATCAAACCGTTGACAGTATCTTGAAGCTGCACAATGGCCTGGAGGAGATCGCGATAGTCCCGCAGCCGAGAAGCGGAGTCGGACCCCAGGTTCTGCCTTTCCTTGCTGATCTGGTTGATGATGTCGCAATTCTTCAACACCTGGGTCAAGGGCGTGTTCTGCTGTGCTTCCATGATCTCACCCGGACCCTGCTGAGCGGCGGGGCGGTACTTATTGGGCGGGACCAAGATGTTTTTGATGAAGAACATATCCGCATTGATGCGGGATTCCTTCTTTGACAGCGGCCTGGAGTTGTAGACGAGGCTGAAGATCTCGGCCTCCTTCTCGAACAACAAAGTGATTGCCGCATGGACTTCGGGAGACGGGAGATACTGGCCGCCGCCCTCAGCAGATTGGTTGTTACTCCCCATCTGGGATAACACGGCGTTTCCGCGAGCCACCTCCTCTTCGGCGCCATGGGTCGTCGAGTGGGCTTGTTTCTCCTTGCTGTTGAACTGCTTGGCTTGTTGAAGGAGAACCAGAGGGTTCGGTGCCTGGAACCCACCAGTAACCATGGCCAGTTTCGATTTCTCAGACAGCACTTTTCGGAAAACCTTTGAGTAGCGATCCTTTCTGTATCCGGGTGACATTCCTTTGCAGTGTGCACACTTCTTAACACCGACAATCTCCTTGAAAAATTCGCTGATGAGAACCCGTCTGTTCTCGGCCGCAATGGGGTTCTTCGAGCCGTTCATCAGGCCTTTCAGTTTGCCGGATGCCTGTGCTTCGCGAATGCTTTTCTTGACATAGGTAGCTCGGCGCGCAATGATATCGTCGTCGTCATCTTCCTCTTCGCTACCGGAAGCGTCACCCTTCTTCCCTCCTTTGGACTTGCCCCCTGCGCCGGCTCCCATTTCATCGATGGCGGCCGCCTCGTCGATTAACCCGTACTGCAGGAGACGCAGCTTGCAAGAGTATTTGTTGATTTGAACCCGAGAGATTTGAAGACGGTGGCAGTAGATACATTGCGCTCTGAGCAGGCGATACATCTGATCGAAGTGCGTGACATTGTAGACATGGACCGGAAGCTCAATGTGTCCAGGATGGCCTGTACAAGCCCAAGAGCTCAGGCGACAGGTCGTGCAGCTAAAACCAATCAGTTTTTTCTTGTTCTGGAAACACGGTCGAGGAAACCTCAAATCAGACGAAAAAGCACCCAGACGTAAAGACTTACGCATGATCGCCCCAGGCTCCCATAGCCGGGTCATACAGACCACCAGGGACAGGATTGTTGAAAGAATCCAACGTCGGGGTATTGTGGATTCGCTTTACTGATACGGCCTTGACATCCTCCTCGGAGTAGACGCCAAAGTCCACTCCCGAGATGGTGGAGGCCACAGGACGTGCGAAATTGGCCATGGCTCCCTGCAGCTCCTAGAGCGACCGATGACGGCGTAAAAGAGTTCGTTGGTCGCAGTGGAGGGGAAGCTGCAAGAAGAAGCGGGTTCGTTCGGTCTCGATGCCGCGAAGAAGAAAAAAAAGTTCACCCAACTTTTTCTGCCTTGCGACACCGCCCTGGGGGGCTCCACCTTTTTCGATCGTCCGACTTGCAACTCCCTCATGTTTATGATTCCCATCTATCTTGGTACTATTGATCTGCTCCCTCCAATTCATCTCTTCACCTTGGTCTAGTCTTTGTCGCTGCTTAAGGGTCTCTCGTTTATTCTCGTCTATCCATAAAGTCACACTACTTCTAGTGGGTGAGTGCAGCGTCCATGGCGGACATGTCGGGCAACATGCTGAAGAGGCCTCACCCCGAGGAAGGAGATGATAACTCACAGAAGCGAACTCGCTCCAACGATGGATCGCCACGTCCTGGTCAGGGGGCGCCTGCTGCCACGGGAAAGGTGGATATTGAGAAGATGGTGGCCGAGGCGAGAGCAAAAGCCGAAGCTGTACGCGCCAGGCTTCAAGCGGCCAAGGGGATAAGCCCGTCTGCAAGCCCAGGGGTTGCCAGTCCTAGTCCTACACCTTCAGCTGCGAGTCCTGCGATGTCTAGATTGGAACAAATGAAGGCGCGCGTGGCAGCTGCCACTGGAAGAGCCAGCACACCGGCCCAGCAACGACCCGTCGTTCCGATACCAACCCCTCAGCCTCCCCCCCACGACAACGAAGACGATGGCCTCTCGAAGGCTCGAGGTGGCTTAGACGTCGGCCTCCATCCCGCTTTGTTGTCGGATACGATCGAATTCAAGGGCAGCAAAGGACGGCAATCGTCACAGTCAAAGAACCGACGGACAGAGAGTCCAGCTACGGGAGGGAGGCCCAATCGAGCAGGACTCGATCTGTCGGGGCCTTCCCTGGAAGAGATAAAGAGCAATCCCTATTTCGATCCGACTTTAGGCCCCAAGGCTACGGTCGCCAAGCCACGGGGCTCGCGCCAGCTTATTTTCAACGAAAAGGGCAAATATATCCAACAGGCTGCCGCTTTGCGTCGGCAGGCCCAGTTGGAGGATATGAAGAAGCGGATTGCGGAGCGAGCGCGACAAGTGGGCATTGATGAGGATCTGGACGTAGAGAAAGCATTCCAGGTACCGGAACCGCCGGCGATCGAGTGGTGGGACGAAGGCCTGGTCAACGGAGCGGACTATTCAGCTATCGATGACGAGCAGAATCTCAAGATCGATACTGCCGATTCCATCGTGACTCGCTACGTTCAACACCCGGTTCTTCTCGATCCCCCACAGGACAAGCATCTGATCGAACAGAAGCCCATGTATCTGACACATAAGGAACAAGCCAAGATCCGTCGCCAGCGGCGTATGGCTGATTTGAAGGAACAGCAGGCGAAGATCCGGCTGGGTCTGGAGCCAGCTCCCCCGCCAAAGGTCAAAAAGTCGAATTTGATGCGGGTTCTCGGAGAACAGGCCGTCAAAGATCCAACGGCCGTCGAAGCACGCGTGACCCGCGAGATCGCCGAGCGCAAAGCCGCCCACGAAGCCACGAACGCGGAGCGTAAGCTGACGAAAGACGAGCGTCGCGAGAAGCTGGCCACTCAGCAAGAAAAAGACGCGGAGAAGGGACTTGTGATGTCGGTATACCGGATCGACAGCCTTGCGAACGGACGCCATCGGTTCAAGATCAGCAAGAATGCAGAGCAGAACGCGCTCACGGGCGTCTGCGTCATGAACCCTCGATTCAACCTGGTGATTGTCGAGGGCGGCGCGCACTCAATAACCAACTACAGAAAGCTCATGCTGAACCGGATCGACTGGACGGAGAATGCGGGGCCCAATTCCGTGCGAGAAGGCAACCGCGAAGCTCAAATCGCATGGCTCGCGGCCGAGGACGAGCAGACAGGCGATTTGAGAGACCTGAGCCACAACACGTGCTCCCTCCTGTGGGAGGGTGAGGTCAAGGCGCGAGCGTTCCGGAAGTGGCTGGGTGCACGGATCTGCGAGAGCGACTCGCAAGCGAAAGACGTTCTGTCACGTTCGAAGATGGAAAATTTCTGGACATTGGCCAAGAGCGCTAAGCAAGCCGAGACGTGATTTTTTTTTATCTCAACGAGGAGTCGGCTAACAGTCGAGTTGTATATAGCTAGCTGCTCGCCACGTGCCGCTTTTAAATTCTACGATTCATGTATAATAACCAGTAATAATATCCATTATCCTGTAAGATCAAGAGGGTTATGGAATATACTCTTATGAAATTTCATTAAATCCAAACTTTTTTTTTTGAAGCATAAAAACCCACACAAAGTTACCCGGCTCCTTGGATGCAAAGTCTATAGAATAAAACTCATCAAGATATCAATAACGACGCTGGCTTCACGAAGGCGGAGGCCCTTGATTATTGTTGTTATGGCTCAAGTGTCGCAGCAGATCTAACTGCGCCTTGACTTGATCGAAATTCAGCGGGCTCTGTGCCTGCGGTTGGCCAGGCTGCTGCGGTTGTTGGTACGATTGATGTTGCTGTTGCTGCTGCTGTTGTTGCTGCTGCTGCTGCAAGGCAGCTAGGAACAGCGGGTTGATGTGAGGCATCTGCTGGTAGGGATTGGGCTGTTGGAATGCTTGCTGAAATGGCATCTGGAAGTTGAACGGGGCCGGCATTTGACCCTGGGCGAACGGTTGTTGCGGCTGCTGCTGCTGCTGCTGCTGCTGGGGCTGCTGGGGCTGCTGGGGCTGCTGGGGCTGTTGCTGCGGCTGAGGGAAATAGGGGAATGAAGGGAACTGCTGCTGGTTCATGGGGTAGGGGCTTTGAGGGTTCTGAGGATAAGCTTGTTGTTGGTAGTTTGCAGGTTGCGACGGAGAGTCGGACCCATGGTGCTGATGAGAGGGCTGGCGGTCGTTGTTGTAAGACCCTCCCCGGCCACGACCACGGCCTGCGCCCCGACCGCGATCAGAGCCTCGGCCACGGCCCCGGCCACCACGGAATCCAGGGGTCACTGCCGGAGGCCCGTCCTTCTCGACAGGCGCTTCCTGGGGACCCATCATCTCGTGCAGATTCTTCGGACGGGCGAGCGGGGTGTAGCCCTCGTCGCCTGCGTTATCGTCGTAGTTGAGCTCAGTGTGGGCGAGCTTCGAGGGACCCGGGGGCCCCCGTTGGGCACGTCCACCCTCCTTCGCACCCTTCTTCTCCTGGCGTTTTTGTTTCTGCCTCTTCTTGAACTCGGCTTCTGCCTCGTCATCGGAGAATTCAATTTCGTCCTCGGGGATCTCTTCGTCGTGGAAGTTCGATGCATCGCTGCCCTTCATTCCCTTGAGAGGCTGAGTGAAGACAAAAGTGGACTTCTCCTCAACGTAGTAGATGTTCGTCCCTTTGGAAATGCCACGCTCGGTGATGGCAGCGGCGTCGGGGTATCTGACCGCATACAAGGGGTTCTCGACCCGGCCTAGAGTCTCGGAAACCACACCCGCGAGTTTCCGGTCTTCAAGGCAAAGTATAGAACCCGACTCGAGGACTTGATACTCTCCCGAGGTGTTCGCTGCAATCAGAAGGGTATTCTCGACGATCGCTTCCACCTGCCCCAGGAACACAACCTTCATCTCAGGAGTGATTGTGATTTCGGGCAGGGGCGGGGCTTCGTCTGGAACCTCGTTCGCCGTTCGAAGCTGGCCACCCGATTTTCCCTTCCCTTCGCCTTCATCATCGGATCCAAGCTCTGCCTGCATCAGGATGCGCGCTGTCTCTTCGGCGGTTAGGATAGGATAGTCATCGTCGCTGTCATCGCTGTCGTCGGAGGAGGAATCGGAAGAATCGTCAGACGAGGATTCGTAGGGTGAAGAATCAGTTTCCCATTCGCGAGGCTCCCCCTCTCCTTCACCATCAGCGACCTCCATCGCGTCCGGTGCATTCGTATCGTTGGCGGTTTCCCCAGACTGGGTGGTGTCTTGAGGTTTCGTCTGATCCCCGGCCTGCTGCACATCCATTGCCTGGGTATTGTCCTGTGCATTCTCTCCGGTGGGTTCGGTTGTCGTATCCGCTTGCTTTTCACCCACTACGCCTTCCGTCGCATTGACAGTCGGCGACGGGCCGGAGTCGCTGGGGGCAGTCTGGTCTGAGTCGTTCTTCACGAGACCCAGACCAGGAATCGGTGCCGATGAGTTCGACGGGTTCAGTTCATCACGTTTCTCTTGAGCAATGCTCTGCTGGATTTCTGTGGCGGGCACCGGCGTCCCTGCCGTCAGAGGCGTGTTGTAGAAATCGCTCCCATCGTCGGCAGGTGTCAATGCGATGGGTGGGGTATCGTTCATGCAGGGCCGTTTCACAGGAGGACCCTCATTAGAGGACCCTTGAGGGATGTCCTGTTGCTGATTATCGCTCATTTTGAAAAATAAACAACTCAAAAGGACAAGAGAGAAGTATGAAGAGAAGGTGAAGCCGGTGGAATTGGAGAAATCTCTGGGCCGGATCTTTTTTTTCTGCCGGGGCGGTGGCGGCTCTTATCGATAAACACCTGTTCCATTCCGCATCGCATCCTCGATTCCTCCTCACTTCATCAACCTTTGTTTACGCCTATCGTCCTTGTTCAGGATGTCGTCACCTCGGAGGAGAGTTCAGGTCTCGTCTGCCTCGTTAGGGGATAAGCAACCCCTGCCCAAGAAAGGGTATCCAATCCCCCCCGCTTACTCCTCATTCTCCGATTGTTTATCAAGCTCACACGGAAATGCCACCGCAGTCCTCCGTCGCCCTTCTATCTCCCTCTGGACATAGCTTTCTACATCTGTCTGATCTCGAATGGCATAGCGGCATTTTTGGCGCCGATACAGGATTGCGATGAGGTCTTCAATTTTTGGGAGCCAGCGCATTACCTGAACCAGGGTTACGGCCTTCAGACATGGGAATACTCTCCGGTTTATTCGATCCGGAGCTGGCTCTATGTGGTCCTTCATGCGAGTGTGGGGAAGGTTGCGTCCCTCGTCCTAAGCAGCAAAAGTTCGCAATTTTACGCCATCCGATTTGTCCTGGCTTTCGTTTGCGCCGCATGTGAGACACGACTATACTCGGCCCTTTGCCGGATACTTCGCCCACGGATCGGTCTATTATTCCTCATGGTTGTCGCATGCAGTCCGGGCATGTTTCACGCATCGGCCGCATTCTTGCCCTCGAGCTTCACCATGTACATGTCCATGCTGGGCCTGACGGCTTTTCTGGATTGGCGGTCAGGGCAAAAAATTGCGCAGGGGATTATGTGGTTTGGGCTCGGTGCAATCGTCGGCTGGCCGTTTGCGGGAGCGCTGATTCTCCCTCTTCTGCTCGAGGAAGCTGCCATTGCCTTTGTGGCTGGGTCCATGAAGGCTATGGTCCGCAGCACTGTGAAAGGCGCATTGAGGTGTCTGGCGATCCTGGTAGAGTTCGGCCCGACGAGCAATGCGCGGTGACTATTGCTGACTCCTTCTAGGCCGCGGAAATCGCCGTCGACTACACTTTCCTTCGCAAAGTCACCATTGTGCCGTGGAATATCGTGGCTTATAACATCTTTGGCGGAGAGGGCCGGGGGCCGGAGATCTTTGGCACGGAGCCGTGGACATTCTATGTCAAGAACCTCCTCCTCAATTTCAACGTCTGGTTCCTTTTCGCGGTGGCTGCGGCACCGTTGCTGCTGCTCCAGACGGTGTTCCGGTTCCGCACGTCCAATATGGACACACTCCTGCGCACCGTGACGCTGATCCTACCTTTTTACATGTGGATGGCAATCTTCACTGCGCAGCCCCACAAGGAGGAGCGGTTCATGTATCCGGCCTATCCTTTCCTGGCCCTGAACGCGGCCATCGCGTTTGACATGGTGCTTTCGTACATCGGGTCTCAGAACCCGAAGGAACTCATCGGGCGCGTCCCCGTGTCGCTCAAGCTAACAGCGGTGATGTCGATTGTGCTGTTGGCCGTCAACGGCGGCTTTTTCCGGACTCTGGGCATGGTCACCGCATACAATGCGCCACTGAAGGTCTTCGAGCCGTTGGAGCAGCCCGGGGTTGTGCAGGCAGGCGATACCCTCTGTCTCGGCAAGGAGTGGTACCGGTTCCCATCGTCATTCTTCCTCCCTCATGGGATGCGGGCTAAATTCATCCGGAGCGAGTTCCGGGGGTTGCTACCGGGAGAATTCCGCGAGGCCGTCGACTACCCTGCTCTGATCGATGGAACGTCTCGAATTCCCACAGGCATGAACGATCGCAATGAGGAGGATCCTGAGAAATACGTGAGTTCTGCCAGGCCTTATCCCCGTCCCTCCCGACTAACACCCAGTGTAGGTGGACATCTCACAATGCACATTCCTCGTCGACTCCTCCTTCCCGGGGAACCCACCGACTGCACTGGAGCCGGACTACATCCATGACGAAACTCAATGGGAGCAGGTCTCCTGCCGGGCATTCCTGGATGCATCTCGGACGGGACTCCTGGGACGTCTGGTCTGGATCCCGGATCTGCCCATAATCCCAGACCGGTTCCGGCGCCAATGGGGCGAGTACTGTCTTCTCCAACGACGCGATGACCCCGCAATCCTGTGAGCGGACGTGCAACTACCAGTAGTGTAAATAGACTTCCATCAATTGCGGATGAGACGGGAAACGAGGCTTTACCCAATCGGGATAACAAATCCAGGGTGCAGATGCAGCGTGATAAGCAGGTTCACAGCAGTCGATAATCCATTTGGCTCTCGCGCTGGACGCAGAGGTAGTATCTGTTCTAGTGGACGATCTTGATCGCATCCATTCAACTAATCTAGTAACGGCTATCTATGGCTCTCTGGCATCCCTGTGCGTGAACGATGTAGTACAACATGGAGGCAATTCCCAACCCAGGATGTGACATTCTTTTCTCTGAGCACGTTTTGATGCTTTCAAGATCGGTAGACTATTTTCTTGACGCTTTCTGGAACCATTTGAATTAGGCCAGCAGAAACCATGCACCTACAAACCCTGGATATCAAACATGCAACGGCCATCGGCCTCGTCGTCTTCACCTTCATCTACCTCCTCAGACTCTTCACCCAGAGATTGAAAGTCAGCAGGGATTCCCTCAATCCCGAGAATAAGACAGCCGTAACTAAGTTCTCCAAACCGAGTCGCAAACCGGGAGGTGCGTCACTCACGTCACCCCATCTATATCATCCCTATACCCACCATATCCATCAAAGAAACAGACAAGACAAGCATAACTAACTAACCCACAGAATGGATCCCCTCGACTTTCCAACGTCCCCCAGCATGCCCCTACCCAAACTGGGACATCCACACCACAAAACCCATTCCCTACCGGCCATTCAAATACGGACCGTAGGTTGACCAACACACCCTCACCCTTCACCACAAAGATATCCGTTCCTAACCTAAGCAGGAAATACTTCATCACGATGGGCCTGCGCAGCATGAAATGGGATGAGTGGATTGGTCAGTCCATCCACATATCTTCTCGACTATCCTACAGGGGTAATAGTAGGAAAGATGTCTGACTATCGCAGAACTCGACAACCAATACGATCGATACCACGCAGACAAGGCGCGGCGGATCGAACAGCGCGGAGAGAAATGCTGTCGGACAGCGCCGGAGGCATACGAGGGAGCGTGTGAGCTTCTAGAAGAGCTGTATAGTCCTCCTCCTCCTCTTTCCCATCCTCACCCAAAACCCAAAATCAACGAGAACAGCAAAAGAAACCTGTACTAATAATCAGACCAGGAGAAACTACCTCCCCCAACGCTACCCGACCATATTTCGCCGCACACCAACCGGCCTCCGCAACACGCACACGCACGAGACATTCAACACAACGCAGCGCCCCCTCCCCGAAGACCCCATGACAACCAGCGCCCGCCTCGTCCAAGACGACCTCGCCCTAATGATCGAGCGCCCAGACGGCGAATACTACCTCCTCGCCGGGGCAATCCTCCTCGCGGGCTTCTGGCGCCTCAGCGACAAATTCGGCATGCGGCTGTCCGAAATACACACCTCGGGCTCCGTGCCAGGGTATCGCGAGAAGCTCGAGAAAGGAATGAGCAATTTCTTCCGCCGGCTCAAGCCCGAAGAGCCTGTTTTGCGGAATAACTACTTCATGCAGGTTGACGACGGGCTCGCATGGTCGAAGAGTATCGGGGATGAAGATGGTGCAGATGTGTCGTGGAACACGGCGGAGCGGGATCGCTGTGTCGAGCAGCACTTTTTTAGGTCCGAGAGGCAGAGTTTGAGGAGACTGCCGCGGTCGGGGGCGATTGTGTTTACTATTCGGACGTATTTTGAGCCGGTGACTGCTATTGTGAGGGAGCCGTATGTGCCTGGGCGGTTGGCGGCTGCTGTGAGGAGTTGGGGGGATGATGTTGCGAGGTATAAGGGGAGGGAGAAGTATGGGGCGGTGTTGTTGGAGTATTTGGATCGGATGCATGAGGAGCAGGTTAGGGGGGGGTTGCTGGTGGGGGGGGAGGAGGAGGGGAGGTATCCTTTTTGACTCTTTGAATCCTTTGAGATCTGTGATAATGAGTTCGTGAATAAAGCTATGTACAAGTAGCCCCTAAGTCGAAATAGTATACCAAAACGCCAACACCGACGCTATGCTCAATACACGATATACTCAATACAAAATATCCTCTAAACACCATATGCTCAATCCAACATATCCTACTGTTAAACAACCCGAGAAGCAGACCTCCCCCTATTCCGCCTCGCATAAGCCCACTCCCGCTCCTGCCGCCACGTACACTCATCATTAAACTCACAAATACGACACTTCCACGCATCCATGACCTCGACCCCGCGAGGCGCGCGCTGCCCACGCCACCACTCCATCTGGTCCGTCAGGTACGACATCATAGACGTGGGGTCGAAGAGGAACGATCGACTGCCCAGCACCCGCGGCTGGAGGTCGTCGTCATCTGCGGGCGTCGATGAGAGGTACCGCGCTGTGAGCAGCGGGGAGATCACTGTGGCATATGATTCTAGCAGGCGGGGTTGGAACTCGGAGGGGATGGATGGGGCGCTGGAGATGGGTGGGGAGGGGGATGACGACGATTGGGACGGTGGCGGGAGGAGGAAGGTGAGGCGGAGCTGGTCTTTCATGAAGCCCCACAGTTGGGTAAGGTTGCTGTGGGTGAGGAGTATGCTAGTTGAGTCCTGGCTGCTTCCTGAGGGTGAAGAGTCGGGGTTTACCTCCGGGGAGGATGACGAGAGGGCATCGAAGAACTGGTCATTAAGGCCGCCTACCTCATTGATGAAGGCGACTGTGAAGCGGCGCTCAGGGTCCAGGTCGTAGCGCGCGGCGATCATCTCGATCGACACGTCGTCGCTGGTGACCATGCGGTTGAGCATGTGGTAGTAAATCTGCAGCTGGAGCAGCGTCGGCCGGAACGAGGAGCTCTTAACGGTAGGTACCGATTTGCTGTTTCGAGTCTTGACGTCCGTCATGTACACCCGCGGCAGATTGAAGGCCTCCTCCGACTGACTGCTCCCTCCGGCGGCCTCGTCCAGCGAGCTCTGCTGCTGCTCGGCCTCATCCGGTGAGAACACATCTGACAACCGCTTGCCGCCCTGCGTCGGCGACAGCAGGTAATCCGACAGCGACATCTGATACTCAGGCATAACATCACGGGAGGCCTCCACATCAGCGTAGTAAGACGCGGCGGTAGCCTCCAACTCCGGATCCGGACACTCATACGACAACTGATCAATCACACCGTTGACCAGCTCCCCGTCCACAACGCCCCACACCTCCAGCTCACGGGTGATGCCGTACTCGCGCAGCATGCGCAGACCCTGAATGACGTTCAATATGCGCAAGGCAAGCGCATCCTCGCGCGTGGTAATCTCCACCGAGACAGTCGTATAGATCTCGTCCTCGAGCGTCTTGTGGATCGTCGACCCGGTCTTCATCGCGGCCGTGCGCCGCTTGCGCCCGAACTTGGTCAGCGTGTACCAGTATTGCAGTTCGCACCACGCGGGCGAGATCAAATCCGTTACCGAGAAGGCCTTGTTGGGCGGTCGTCGGAAGCGCTCTACGGGGGAGCGCGTGTCGGGTTCTGTTGGTGCGTCTGTGGTGGTGGTGATCCCGTCTTGCTCGCGCGTGCGCTGTCTCTCGCGGTCTCGTTCACGTCCTTCGGTTGAATTAGGATGCTCTACTAATCGCTTGTGGTCAGGTCAGTTTTTCCACCTGAATTTATTGCACGGCTTGACCAAATAAAAGCAAAGAAAGAAAGAAACAATGAAAGAGAGGAAGAAATTACCAATTGCGGCACCACCGTATGGGCCCTGATCTGGCGACCGACGGAACCTCGCAGCCTGCCACGGAGGCATCTCCCTCCCCAGCACGCGGGGGACGCGCTCAGGAACGACCTCATGACACTGTTCAATATCCGTTACCGCGATGGGTGCTGTCGGGGGATGTAATTGAGGTTGTTGGTGCTGTTGTTGTAGTTGGTGGTGGAAAGGCTGGCGAGGGATGATAGCGGGGGCGGTGGCGTGTTCGGCGACGGCGTTGGTGAGCAACTCATCCAGCAGGGTCTCTTCCTCGGGGGTGAAGTCGAAGCCGTATTCGCTGCTGCTACCACTGACACTGCTGGCGTCGAAGCAGTCGTCGAATGCGCCGGGCATTAAAGTGGGGGATAGCGGTGGGCAGGACATGCCTGCGGAGTGAAGCGGAGGTCATGGGGATGGATGATGGAAGTGACTAAGTTACTAAAGGCTGTTTAGTTACTGGATTAGGCTTCAACCTTAACCACGCCGTTAGATAAGCCAACATTTGATATATATATATATATTAATCTTTCTTAAAGTAAAGAAAAAGAATGATCATAACGATGCCTTGTTATGGATTTGTAGATATCTAAAGTTCTATAACCGAAAGATGCGAATCTAATCTAATCTATACTAGCCAAGCATCACACCATCCCAACACTATATACAGTCACAGAAATGAAGAACGCAGCAATCCAACTACGCCTTCAACACTATCGAAGCCTCAACCGGTGACGGCGACGAAATCGAGGCCAACTCAGCAGCAACCTCAGCAGCCTCCACCTCCCTCGCAGCCTTCTGATTCAACCAACTCAGATAAGTCTGCCACCCAACCGCAATACACCCGGAGAAGATATTCCGGAACTGCGGCGCCACATACATAAAGCTAAATGCCGTGACACCGGGCCACAGCTTGCAGCTATTGACGATGCTGACAGGGAGGGCCTTCTTCAGCCGCTCCCAGGTCTCTTCCAGCGACGCGCCCGATAGCAGAGAGTGCACGCTGAAGAAGTAGGTGTTGAAGACGGGGGTGAAGACCGCTTGCTGCACGCAGACTTTGGTCAGGATGGAGAGGAACTTGGAGGTGAAGTTGAAGTTGTGGTGGAGGAACATGAACCTTTCCATCTCATCTTATCAGTATATCCTTTTGTGATAGAATCGGATAAAAGGGATCTCACCAGTTATACGACGGAATACTCGACGTCGCACCGACTGTTAAATGTCGCAGCGTCCTCCACGGATCATACCCTCCTCCTCCTCCTCCTTCTGCTTGTCCCTCCCCTTCTTCTCCCTCCCTCCCTTCACCATCAGCCCCCTCCTGACCCTGCTGCACCGGTTTCCCGCCACCCGGCGGAAAAAAATACTGCGCGCTCAAATCCCCACACAGATAAACAATCACCGAGCTCCACAGCTGCGTCGCATAGGGCCGTCTCGCCTGGACGCGCGAGTACGCCCGTCCAAGATTCCCCAGCGGCCCTTGCACAATAACCTGGCGCAGTGTCCGCCGCGACCCCGAACCGGCGGGGATGGTAGCAGGCGACGGCGGCGCAGTGGTCGAGGGTGAGGGTGTAGTGGCTGGGGTGCCGGCATCGGGGGGAGGGGGAGTCGTTTTGTTCGAGGCGGGGTTGGGAGTGGTCTTGTTAGGGTTTTCGGGGGAGGTGGATGATGTATGATTGTTTCGCCGGGGTCGGATGCGAGAGGGTGTGGAGGATCGTAGGGTCGTCGTCGTCGTCGTCGTCGTCGTCCTGGTCCTGCTGAGCAGGTGGGAGGGGAGGGGAGGTCGCATCCCGGTGTATGCGACCGACGACCGGAGGTTCAGCGCTCAAAATGGGTTCAAGGAAAAGTCATGGACAATGAGTAAATAGATCTAATCTATCAGGTCAATAGAAAAAAACAATATAGACAGTCAACGAAGGAAACTGAATGAGGGAAAGGAGAAAGAAAGAAAAAAGTCCATACAGACGACTCAAGTCGGCAAATCCACCCGGTCGGCAACCGCTTAACAGTCAGTCGGATTTCAGGCCGAGGAGTTCAAACGCCACGGAGTCAGCCCTATTTATAGCACGCCATGTGGCCAAAACCTACAATGACTACAATAATGGTCAGGATGATAGTTAAATATGTAGTGGTTGAAATCAATTTATTAAGCGTGAATTCATGCTTTCATGATTTCATTAACTCTCCTCATGCGAGTGAATAGCGTAACAGATAATGTTAAGGTACAAACAGTCAAATCGGGTATATCCTCGAATCCATGCAGATCAACAAAACAAAGAACAGAAAGTAGAAGGAAAAAAGACAAAGGAAAGGATTTTTTCTTCACGCTCCATCATGCATATCACATCGACACCGAAGTGTAAACAAAAGTGGTGCTGGAAACGCTATTAACAGTAATCATTATCAAGCATGTCGGTATGCATGCATGTCTATCGTAGAAAAATGTCTCGGTGTATTGGAAAGGTTTTAATGGAAAGACTCCCGGGTGTGCACACGGTCGATATCGTACGGGTTCCCGTCGTACGCCGAGGCGTGGTGGGATCCAACCGTCCGGGTCGAGGCCTTGCTGCGGATCTGCTGCATCGTCGGGAGCTCCTCGACGTCCGACAATGATCCGTCCGACACCGCGCGCGAGGGCGCCGGAGCCTCGGTGCGGTCATACCCCTCGACATCGGTCTCCTTGGGCTCTTCGTCTGCGGCTCCGTCGTAGGTCGCCGTCCTCTTGGCCTGCTCGTCGTCCGCGGCCCCGTCGTAGGTCGTCGTCTTGACCTGCTCGACCATCTTGCGCATGAAGGCCTCGGACTGGGCGGCGAACTTGCAGCGGCTGCGGATCGTGTGGCCGTACTTGTAGAAGAGGAACGGGAACGGCACGCAGGCGACGGCCAGGAACGCCGGGATGGACGAGGCCCAGTGGATGCCCAGATCCTCGTACATGTAGGTGGTGAAGAGCGGGAACACGGCACCGAAGACGGACCGCATGACGGAGTTGGCTGCCAGCACGGACGCGGCAAAGATGGTGTATGTGTCGATCAGATAGCTCATGATGCCCAGGAACACCAGGACCATGCCGAAGCCGAAGGGGACACCGGCAGCCACGGGGGCCATCCAGTGGACGGAGGGGTAGTTGGTCCACGCGAACCAGAACAGGCCCACGGGAATGGCGATGGACGCAACCATGCAGGGAGGCAGCCGAGACTCGGGCGGAGCGAACCCGCCGTGCTTGGCTTGGGTCTTAACATAGCGGCGGTTGTCGATGAAATTGTAGGCCACGGCCAGTAGCATACCCACCATGATGCCCAAGAACGGAAGACTGCCGACGCCCTGGTTCCAGCCACGGACGAACTGGAAGACAATCGGGTAGGCTGCGAACAGCATGTAGAGCGTGCCATACACAATGGCCCTATGTCTCGTTAGTGAGAGATCAGATCCAGACAACGGAATCTAACTTACATATACAGAGAAAGCAAGAAGACGATCGGCTCGCGGAACAACAAAATCCACGGACGCGACAGGGCAGTGGCGAACGCATCGCGAGGAGACATCTTGCCCTGCTCAATGTCCAACTGGCTCCGGTACACCTTGCCAGAGATCTTAGACAGTCTCTCGGCGCGGCGGCGCAGAAGGACGGGTGCGTAGGTCTCCGGAACGAGCACGGTGCCCATGATCCAGACCGCACCGGAGAACGCACCCAGGAATCCCATGACCCATCGCCATCCGGCGTTCATGCCCAGGAAGCCACCGATGATAGGGCCGATGACTGGGCCCAGGAAGGGGGCGACGGCGAACATGCTCATGGCAACACCTCTGTTCTTGGCGGTAAACATGTCGGCAATGACGCCACCGGCGTTGGTGAAGGGGGACGAGCCAAAGGAACCGGCGAAGAAGCGGAGGATGATCAGGGTCCAGATGTTCTTCGAACCCGCGCTACCACAGTTGAACGCCGTGAGCGCCATATAGGTGCCAAAGAAGACCACTTGACGACCAAACATCTCACTCAGTGGGGCCCAAAGAAGGGGACCTGTCGATGGTCAGTATACATTTGGATGACAAGACGGGACCACACATTCAATACGTACCGACGGCAAACCCTAGAACGAAGAGAGAGACACCGAGGGTCGCGACCTCGCTGTCAACCTGGAATTCTGCTTGGATCTCAGCCATACCACCAGTATATGCGGACGACACCAGGGCCACGGCTAGTGTCGCAATGGCCACCAAGATCGTGATGGACCATTTCTTGACGTTGCTGAACGTCATGGGGTTGCGAGGGTCATCTGGAATCCAGGTGACGGAGTAGGGGTCCTCCTCGGTTCCCGAGCCGGGGTAGGGGTAATCCACGATCTCCTGTGTCACCACGCCCTGATCGGCCACTAGCCGCCAGTATGGGATTTTGCGATGTGCTGAGGATTCGACCTTGGAAAGGTCGCCGGCCTCGCGGGCCTTAAATTGTGCCATAGTTGCACCGAATACCATGTGGTTTGATCGAATGTCGCTTGAAATCGTTTCAATTGTTGAACAGTAGATTGTTTAGGTTGAATCGTTTGACAAGGGTAGGTTGACTGATGATGGCGATATGATTCCCAGGTATACTAGGTATCAGTCAGGTGGAGAAGGTCGATAAGTACGGTATGAAGGTGAAAGAATCAAGATATCAAGATGCACAGAAAGATTTGAAGACTTCATATTCAGAACGGAAACAGACGTTATCTCTCTATATATAGTCTGGTTAGTTTTTTCCTGTTACCATTTTTTCATCTGGTTCAAGAAAAACTTACTGATCACCTTATCGCCGGTAACTTTAGCCTCGGTCGGATCGCTACCGGGCTAAGAACAGCCAAGTTCGGCCCCACCGATGAGCCAAAGAGGATACTCTGCCGAAGTCAATGCATAAATCTGGGTTTATGCACAGGATTCAGGGTGTCGTGGACCCTCAGCCTGGTGGGCGAGACTGGTCGGGAGAAGCCGAGTGGAGCCAAATCTGAATCGAAATTGGAGGATCCACGGGAAGGGATCATGCGGCGAGTTCTTGATTATTGATTAGTCTGGTTATGCTCATTCATATCTATTACTGACATGATTATCTATAACTGGGATACTGGGATGTGAACGGAGAAACAGGCTGTTACATGCCGATCAACAGTTGCCTTGTAGTTCAAGAGTGATGTGGTGATGGTGCATTCATGTTGTCAGAGTGATGTCGATATGAAGAAACCTGCACAATCCGGGCATATCGGAGGGACAAATTAGGTGACTACATTGCATAACTTCAACTCGGCCGGGCCGGCAACGTATTTCCAGTCAAAATGCACTCCAGGGATTTCGTGAAGTTTCTGCGCCACCGACACCTGTTTGACCCGATCGACTGAGTAATCCTGTCAGATCCACTATCGGAGGTCGGCTGCTCCGTCATGACCCACTCTCATATCTCTCTCTACTTCAGTACTTTCAACTGTGGAATGGATTTGGGAGATAGGAGTGGCATGAAAAGTCAGATACCGATCCATGGTGTTTCTGCATAAGAAGCCGGGTTGATTATTCATCTGATGTTGTGAACACATCCACCTGATATGATGGATGTTTGTATATATCTCAGCCTCTGTAAGATATATATCTAATATACCCTTCATATCATGTCCCTCAGCCTCGATGTTATCGCTTAACAGCACTTTCATCTTCAGTAGACGGTTTGAATAGTATACAATGCAATTGACCCGCATATTTCCTATCTATTTCGGAGTATCATCTGTGGCTTGATTGAATAATCCACCGGCCACCGGTGGCGTCCATTCTAGTCCTCACCCCCTTGTCCAGGAGCCGCCATGTTTTCTCCGAAGTCCACCATGTTCGCACTTCGTCGGATTCCCAGGGCGCATTTTCCACATCGGAAGTATCTTCCTGTGTCTCGTATGATCTTTCTCCCCCCCCCCCCCCCCCCCACTAGTAAAGACCACGGCATCTCTTTCGCGTCCACCCGCGCGTGAACCACCAACAATAACAACAACAAACTACGTGACGGTAGACTCGTCAAGACAAATCGAGGAGGAAACCCTTCCTCTGTATAGACTGGAAAACTACTACCCTCTTTACATCGGGGAAGTATTCGTGTCGGGGTACCAGGTAATCCGCAAGCTAGGATACGGCACGTCGTCCACCGCGTGGCTCTCGAGATCTCGAGTAAGCTTAAGCATTCAATAGCCTACCGCGTAGAACGCGGATTAAACCTATCTTGGAAAGCAACGGTTTATCACACTCAAAAGGTCTGTGTCCAGGGCCGTGCTCCCGACCATGAGATCAAGATCACCAAACACCTAACCAGCGCAGCCGATCACGCTGGCAAGAGCCGAGTCCGTCTAATACTAGAATCCTTTGACACCATCGGTCCTCATGGACGACACACCTGTCTCGTCTACCAGCCGCTTGGGATGACATTTACCGAACTGCGAGATCTACTCCCAGACAATATCTTCCCAAAAGATTTTTTCCAAAAAGGTATCCAGCTCGTCTTGATATCGCTGATATTCATACACGAAGACAATGTCGTCCACACCGGAGGTTTCCCCATCATACCTAGGTCGCCCTCACCCTCTATCAAATAGAAAGGCTAACCCACCTAGGCATCTCCCCCAACAACATCCCCCACGCCAGAGACGACTCCTCTCTCTTTTTCTTCTCTCTCTTTCTCAATCTAATCTCTCTATTTTACCCCCTCCGATCACCCACAGCTATACACACTCCAGGAAAAACACTCTACCCATCCCAAACCAAATCCTCCGAACCCGATCGCAGCGACTCACAAGCAACAACGATGATCACATCCTCTTTCTCAATTCAATTCGCAGAATCCTCCGCTGGCTACCTCAGGAGCGACCGTCAGCGGAGGAGCTCGCAGACGATGAATTTCCGATGCAGCCTGTGTTGGCTCAAATCAGTTCACCAGACTAAAACCCACTACCTACCCTACTGTATAGATCGAATCAGCCCACCATCACTGGCAAGGGATGTAAAAATAATGAAATAATAAAATAATAATCTTATGATCATATATAAAGGATTGTATACATTCTACCTAAAAATAGACATCTAATCACGCCACAAAAGGGTTAGTACTCTGCTCCACCTAAGTACCTAATCAGTCAATCAATCTCCGAAGCCTCCAAGTCAAAGTGTTAGTGTCATCACTCCCGACCGAGGCATCAAATCATCGGAATGCCGTATTATCAGCACTGATCCTTGGTTAGTATCTTACTATTCATTAGTTCAATAGATTCAAAACAATAGAGTAGAACTAAGTGTTTATCTTTTATTGAGTCATAAATGTTGCCTGTCTGTTCTTTCCTACGTGGTCGGTTTTTGCTGTTGGATTACACCCTGAGATAGCCACCCTCTGTACGGAGTACTCTACTATCCAAGTGACTCGTGAGATGTGATTTTGAGTGACGGTGTACTCTAGGCATGACATTATCTAATGTCATGTCTATCGTGGTTGATCTATCCTAGGGCATAGCGTCGTCAACGGTTGACCTTGAAGGGCAACCATAATACACATAGTAACGATGCGACCGTTGACTACGAATATGCCAGTCTACTATTTACACAGGCAGTAGAAGATGATCATAATTCGGTGGATTGTCTGGTCATAGATGTATTGGTCTATGCCATCGGTGGCGCTGAAGGTCACCATTGGGAAAACAGTTCCATAATGTACATGATTGATGCACCCCAGCAATCCACCCGACTGCCCCGTAGAGCAGCCTCCTAGGTCTTGCGCAGAGAAAACAACTAGAACCCATAGCCGAAACCCGTGATATTGGAATAAAAAATGAAAAAACCCATCATTGATCGCCAGTCGTAAGAGAAAAATTAAAGCAAAACCCCGTTATCGCCATCCCATAAGAGCCAACCCAAAGAATGACTCAATTAAGAATCGAAATTTACGAGCGCTCACCGCGGAGACGGCGGGCCAGCTGGATATCCTTGGACTGGATGGTGACACGCTTGGCGTGGATGGCGCACAGGTTGGTGTCCTCGAAGAGGGAGACGAGGTAAGCCTCGACGGACTCCTGCAGAGCACCGATGGCGGAGGACTGGAAGCGGAGGTCCGACTTGAAGTCCTGAGCGATCTCACGAACCAGACGCTGGAAGGGCAGCTTGCGGATCAGGAGCTCAGTGGACTTCTGGTAGCGACGGATCTCACGGAGAGCGACGGTACCTTGAATCTTTGTTAGTTGATGATCCCTTTGATGGACGTTTTTGCCACTAGGAACTTACCGGGCTTGTAGCGGTGAGGCTTCTTGACACCACCGGTCGAGGGGGCGGCCTTACGGGCAGCCTTGGAGGCGAGCTGCTTACGGGGAGCCTTGCCACCAGTGGACTTACCTAGTGAAGGGTTAGTAACGGTTGTTGAAGTGAGACGCGGGTGACCCTTGAAGCGCGACCGTGACGCGACGAGGGACCCCCTCCACCAAGGGAGGCGACGGTGAGGTTAAGACTTACGGGCAGTCTGCTTGGTTCTGGCCATTGTAGCAGATTAGGTTTGATGGATTTAGTCGACTTGAAGATGGAAAATAAGGTTATTGATGGAAAAGTCGATGGTTGATTGAGATAAGAGTCGACGTGGATGAGGAGATGTAGGAAAGATGGAGGAGGTGGGTGGGGGGAGGTATTTGTAGTAAGCGGGAGGTGGGCGGGTGATCTGGGTTGGGTTGCAGCCTTAGTCTCACTCTTCTTTTTGATCAAAGGGGGGCAGAAAAAAAAGTGGACGGAAAGCAACACACCATAAGCGTGATTTGGACGGGAAGAATTAGGTGCAAACCTGCAAACCCAGGCTGCCAAAGGTGCCTGCCTGGGTCAGCGGGAACTAAACGAGCTAACGCTAAGCGAGAGGTTGTTCCGGCTCGACCAATCAGGTTGCAGGATCACTCATGTAGAATGCCTTCCCTTTCCTCAGGCAGAACCCCTTCCTGATCCCAACCACAAGGGGGAATTTTGATTCGATTCCGCTGATCAGTCATTTCCTGTCATTCCTCAGGAATGTCTCTGATATTTTTTGGATTCTTGATCCAAGGGGGTTGGGGGGGAATCCGATCGGATCAACGGAGGCACCGGTCGAATCATGGCTGCTCGGTCAGCAATCCCGACTGATTCAACCCGCGTCCCGGGGATCCTGCCCTCTCATTGGTCGATCTTCTGTCTAGTGCGTGATTCCGGCGCTCTCTCCACGCTCGTCCCTTCGCTATACAAATATCCCCCGTCCCAGACTATCCTCTTCGTTCCTTTCCTCTTCTATCTCCTTCAACTATCATCACGACTCCACCCTCCATAACCAAACCAAAACCTTAACTCTATTCTTCAACCACCTTCAATATGACTGGACGTATGTATTCCTAAAAATCTTCCCAAATCATCTTCGATCATCGACCTAACAATATATCAACAGGCGGAAAAGGTGGCAAGGGTCTCGGCAAAGGTGGCGCCAAGCGTCACCGCAAGATCTTGCGTGACAACATCCAGGGTATCACCAAGCCCGCTATCCGCCGTCTCGCGCGCCGTGGTGGTGTCAAGCGTATCTCCGCCATGATCTACGAGGAGACCCGTGGTGTCCTCAAGACCTTCCTCGAGGGTGTCATCCGTGACGCCGTCACCTACACCGAGCACGCCAAGCGCAAGACCGTCACCTCCCTCGACGTGGTCTACGCCCTCAAGCGCCAGGGCCGGACCCTCTACGGTTTCGGTGGCTAAGCGTGTCGTTTCTCTTTTCGTCTTCTCTTTTGCTTTCGACCATCCTGCGCGGGTCGGCGCGTCATCTCGCCCCTCCGACGCAGTGACGCGGCGGGTTGCTTTTTCGGACTGGTTCACGGGATGACTGGGACGTTGGGGTGTTCTTGATCTTTTTTTATTACCACAAGTGTCATGGGTCTGGGTTTTTCTTTTTATTTTATTTTATTATGGCGCGTACACTAAAGGTCTGCTGGTGTACGCGTTTGATTTCATGTATCATAGCGGCCTTTATGCTTCCAGCTTGCCATAGGCTTATGATCGCATACCATTCAGCGATCTTATGAATACGAACATTTAAAATGGCTTTTCTTATACTGTAGGACTCTATATTTGTGTGTTTCCGTACGCGACGCGTCGGTCTGTTGTGTTAGGTTTTCGCTGAACGGCGTCACGTTCAATTCTACTCCAGTGGGCCATACATTCAATCCATAAGTGTTATTTGTATATTTTACGCGTCTGTATGTTATTTTTTAGTACCGATTCGAATGGGTTCGTTTTAGTATACCTGAGGTGTTCCTGGAGTCCACTGTAGAAGTCCTAATGAGCATTACGCTTGCCATGATCGTAGTGATATTCTGTTGTATCTGCGTCTATGTAGTCTCTGTCTTTAGGATCTATTCTTATTCTATCATGGCACGATGGTCAGTGTACTAGGATAATTAAAAATGGTGTTGTAGAATCTGAGAAACAGTGAAGTATAAATATATATAACAGTCAACCTATCTACAATAACAACACCTACCATCGAACTCTCCAGAAACACCATAATAAACCATAAAAATGAGTAGTACTATATATGCATTACATCTACAGTCAATTTCAATCACGAATCCACAGTGAAACGACCAAGATCACACCCTACAGCACCATCTACCCTCAATGCAACCTGGTAGACGTTCTGGGAATTCAAACGATCGAAGGGTGGAGCCACGCTTCACCTATTTCCCATAAGGGAGGAAACTAAATGCTGCCGGGACGATGTCCTAGTGGTCGTTTTGTTTTTTTTTTTCGTTGGGCGGCCGCCCGACCGAGCGCTGCCGGTTCGAGTCCCGTGGATGGACATTTTTTATAAAGTATCTGGGTAGTTTGCACAAGTACCGCACCAGCATTATTTTATTGGGTTTGGCTAATACTATTTTTTTTTTTTTTTCCATTTCAAACACTGCGAATGAAGATCGAAATACAGACAGTGCTCAACCCCAGCCACAGCAGAATCACAGATAATAGAACAACAGAGCATCAAAGCAACCGAAAATCAAGCCCAGCTCAACCATTCCCGCCCAAGTATACTACACAACACAACACGACAACCATCACCACGCGCCTCAGCCACACCCACCCAGCATACCCCTCAAAAGTCAAAAGATGGCTATCCGGTAATTATGGATGGACAATCGTGACCGTACAGCAAGTGTCACAAATAATACACCATACCCAAACCCAAGTAGGGTCGCCCTGCAGCGCTGCTGCTACACTACACTCCACTGCACCACAGCAGCCGATCCACCCACCAAACGAGCGAGCAAGGCTGATCAGAAACAGACGAATCCACAGGGAGGGAGGGGGTGTCTGCCGATCGGGCGATGCAAGGGCCCGTACTGTATATCTGAGACAGGGCTAATGGATAATATACTGGACATGTTGTGAGATCGATCATCTCTCCCTCCCCTTCCACCTCTTCTCTGTCATGAGGCTGAGATTCAGATGCTAGGTGAGTTGAGGGTGCGTTTGCTGTGTCTTTGGTATTGGTGTTCCTCTTACTGTGGACACTTATAGATGGATAGATACCCTAGCGAAACAGCCCCATTCCGCAGCGAAAGACACGGTGGACCCTGCAGATATAAACAATACAATATGGAATCCTTTTCCATCCCAATCATCAACGACCACATGGCGGGGAATGGGGATACACGACGCGTTGTTGCAGGTGGGGATCGTCGATCGCTAGAAATGGGGACGCTTTTACAATCCTTTCTAGACACCGTGCGTGGGTGTGCCCACCTGGATATATTGTAATCGAGTTACTACAGACACTATATATAGCGCCGTCTAACCTGCAATAACAGACAAAACTAAGCCACAACAATACAGTCCACTAATATACCCACCAACTCGGACACGATCGGACAACTGTACTGCACACCGACCCAAGTACGCAGCAAGTGCCATATACTGTCCTCTAGCAAGACAGAGACACCACGAATAATGCAGCACAGCTTATCAAACAACGACCCAATAATGAGCCGAAAAGTGGGGCAGACCCTGCAGGATGGTGTCATGATCGACAGGTGTTATTTTTCACTCTGTTACCGAGGTGCATGATACATTGTACTACTGCATGTACGATATTTACCGCTTTTTGATCGATTCTGGATAATAATGATAATCTGCTTTCTGATGGGCTGTAATTTGTCATGGTTTATAATCCAGAAATGATCGCTACTTCTTAGACCTGGTTATCGGAAGTACTTATTAGGTAGTACACTACTGTCTATATATAGTGATTGAGTAGATAAATGTGTATGTGGATGGTACATGCAGACCGCCCAAGTAGACCAGACTTTTGACATATCACCTGGGGTATACATTTTCTCCATATTATAACCGGCCCTACTCACCCACCTACTAGACAAGGACCTACCCAAGTAACCAGCACGACAATACAATCATACAGTTCGCCCCCATAATTATAAGCTAATAGCACCACCAACACAAATACTCACCAACCGAGTCCACGGAAATTAATCAAAAAGCGTGGGGCAGAAGGCTTAAACATTAAAAAGTGGACAGCGCACAACCACCACCACAATACCTACAGTATACTGTCCCGCCCTGCGACAGACAACTCGACACTACTGCCTGAATAGGACGACTCGGCCGTAACTCGACGATCCACCGAATTAAAACATGCACCCCCTCACGCACCACCTACCTAGTACTTACGATCTATGTAGTATCTACAATCACCAATTGCCAATTGCGTCCAAACCCCCATATTTTCATTGGGGTATCCACCTGAGAATGGATATAACAAGTGGGAATCGTAGTCGGTCGCTCCCTACCTACCTGGGTGTATACAGGTACTAAGTATAGATACTACACCCTCGTGAGGGGTTCATAGCTACCCAGTCACCTACCTAGTAAGGTGCCTTACTAGCTAGGAGCTCCTGCAGGATTGATAGACATGGTCCCTGCGGTATCTAAACCCGCGTTTTGTAGGGTAGCTTGGGCCTGACAGCCTCCATGTGAAAACCACCCCATTCAAACCAACAAACGAACTAATTAATTAAACCATGGGGTAGTTCGAGCGGGGTACAGTGTACGTACTACTTACTCTGTATAGGGTATTACTATTTGAAGACATTGATGAGGACTTGAATTAGATTGTGTTCATGTAAGGTATTAATCAAATACTGTACAAAGTACTAACTATACAGATGATCCCGACCAGGGGATTCCTAGTCAATCCCAACCATCCACCAGCCAGCCAGCCAACCAACCCAATGCAATAAAACCAAGAGAGAAAATAAAACAAGACGTAAGGCGTAACGATCATACAACAAGGACATATGGTACAGACAATGTCATCCTATGTAATCCCGAATAAAAATAGCGAAGACGGCTTTCTTTTGGATGCGAACAATAGAAACTCAAACCAAACCAAACCAAACCAAACCATACCAAACCAACAAAAACCAAATCTAAACAAAATCATATAAACGTAATAATAAAATCAAAAAGGCTTGCTGTCGTAAGAAACTGCGTCATCATAGTCTAATGTCGACAAAAAGCGGATGTGGATGGTGGATGGAGGGGGATTGATTCCGTGGAAGGAAAAGGATGATGCACGTCACGGCGCTGATGGAGTCTGCATGATGTCATCTGTGCTGCTCGATATCCGTCAGGCCCTCAGGCTCCCTGTCTGAAACGGAAGCGGTGACCAACGATCCGGTCCCCCGGAGTGGGTCCGCAACCCACTTCGGATATCTGATGACGTCAGAGGCTTTTCATCGTCATGCATTGACTCATGCAGACGTTTCGATGTGGTGGAACAGGGGGAACCCCATCCTGGAACCCGGGTGGTAAGACAAAATACTGCCAGTAAGACAATACCGTTGTATGGTCTGTCATTTGTTGGGGCTGGTGGGCTCACTCCCGACCGCGTCGTCGTTGCTTGCCTGGCCAATCGACTTCGGGATGCACCACCCGCATGTGTCGCGTGAGCGCATCGTTACGGGAGAAGGTTTTCTCCTCCGTGCAGAGATGACAGCGGACCTTTTGCTTGCGCGCGTTGTGGATCGTGTCCTCGTGGCGCGTGAGATCGTAGGGCCGCGAGAAGATCGAGTTGCATGGCTTTCCGGTCGACGGGTTGATCCGCTCGCACTTGTGGGGGCCGGCCTGCGAGTTGCACGAGGCGCTGTCGCGCCCCACGAGGTGGCCGCCGGGCGTAGTCTGCCGGTGGGCCTCCCGCTTGTGCTTTTGTAGTTTGGCGGGCGTCGGGAATCGCATCGTACACCCGTGGTAGGTGCAAGTGTACGTGCCGCTGTCCGCCGACGTGTTGGCCGGGCGCGAGATGTCCTCGTGGATCATCATCATCTGCTCGGGCGTCTCCGTGCTGGGCAGCACGTCGTTGCCGGTCGGCTCGAACTGCGTCGTCTCGAAGGTCGGCAGCGGCGCGGGGAAGTTGGGAGTCTGCTGGAGGACGTCCTGGGGCTGGGGTTGCGTCGACGGGGGGTGGGACGGCAGCTGGGCCTGGGGCGGCTGGGGAGCACTCTGCTGCGCCTGCTGCGGTTGCTGCTGCACGAAGGAATACTGCGGGGTCGCGGGCTGCGTCGCGTACTGCGTTGGAAAAGACTCCATGGAGTTGAAGCTCTGGGACGGCTGGAAGGAGCCAGAGCTCTCCCGCCGGAGTCCCAGGGCATCGCCCAGGTTGAAATCGGCCTGGGTGGAGGAGTTGAAGTCGGCCTGAGTAGAGGGGGTGAAGTCGGACTGGGTGGCCGCGGGGAAGAGCGGCAATCCCGCATCGTCCGGCTCGTGGAAATCCAGCAGGGCGTCCTTGGGCGACATGGTCTTGGGCTCCGCGACGCCCTGGCTGACGGTCAGGCCGGGCTGGGGCACGGGGACGCTGGTGGTCATCTGGGAACGCGGGACACCGGACGAAGTGAACTCGGCGGAGTAGGGCGAGTTCTGCCGGAAGGGGGAGTTCTCCCGCTTGATGCTGCCGACGGGGGACTGCGACCGCGAGGTGAGATGATCCTGGTTGGCGGCCTGCAGGCGATCGGCGAAGACATTGCGGTATTGCGGGGTCAGCAGATTCTGCTGGCCGGCCAGCTGCTTGGACACCTGGGGGGTGACCATGAGGGTCGGGTTGTAAAGCTCGTCCTGGTAGACATCGGAGATGGTGCGGTTGAGCTTGGGGACGCCCACGGACATGCTGCCGCTGTTGGGGTTCGCGTAATCTGAAAGTGCGTCGGCTCGTAAGTACTCATTCATCCAGTGATCTATATCGGGGGACGGATCGGTCTCACCATTGACAAATGCCTTGGACGAGTCATCCAGCTCCTCCAACTTGGTCTGCGGAGTCACCGGGGAGTTATGACTCACACTCGAGACCGAGGGGGCCAGAGAGTGGTCACTGGATTGGTGCTGGTGGTGGACCTGCTGTTGAGGCTTGTGCTGCTGCTGCTGCTGCTGCTGCTGCTGGTGGTCGATTGCGGCCTGACGCATGGCCAACCCGGCGTGATTGGCGCCCGCGTCAAAGGACGAGGGATCGTAATTCTGAAATTGGGGCGCCAGGAAGGAGTTCTGGACGGGCGTCTGGGCGGGCGTCGGCAAGGGCTTGGACCGCTGATAGGAACTGCCAGCGGGGGCCTGCCGCGTGGCCGACGTGGCGCGGGAGTGTGAGTTCTGAGAGTGTGAGTGCTGCGGCGTGCGTGCGACGTTGTTGTTGTTGTGTTGTTGTTGATGTTGTTGTTGTTGGTGCATGCGAGCGGGACTGAGGAGTTGCATGTTCCCGTCCCAGCCCGAGTTGTTCGCCACCGGTTGTTGCGTCAACATGGGGTTGTTGCCAAAGAGGTATTGCTGGGGGTACTGGGGCAGGTAAGACTGGGAGGGGGAGACGGAGGATGGCAGCTGAAAGGAGAATTCGTAGGAGGGTGCGGGTGTCATGGAGGGAGCCTCGAAGCAGTTGCCGTCGAACACGGCGGGCGTATAATCCCCCTCGACCGCCGTGGAGTTGGGAAGGTGAGAAAAGGAGGAGTTGGGCGAGGAGTCGGGAGAGGAGGGAGCGGAGGAGGGCGGAGAGACGAATTGCAGATCCGGATTATACTGGAAGGGCGACTCGAGCTGATGCGGTTGCGGTTCCACGTACTGTGAAGGGATATCGTGGGGGAATTCGGGGAGCAACTGATCGTCCTGAATACAGACGGGGTCTTGGTTGTTGAGGAAGGGAACTTTGCGTCCAAAAGGGTGCATGAACATAATGTCCTCTCTTAAGCAATCGGGCGTCCAAAGACGGATGACGCCGCGTGGAGCCTGTCCCGAAGAATATGGAGAAGTTTAAATAGGAGGACCGGGAAACGGTTGACAAATTTTGGGGGGGGCCTAGAGACCCGAGATCTCGCGTGCGATCAAGTGTTTGACTTGGGTTTGACGGAGAAGACGGAAATTGGTCGGAGTCCCAAGAAAGATGAAGGAAGTCGAAGTCACTGGAAGAGTCTGACGGAGATGAATCCAATCAAGTGGGAGGAGGGAAAGATCTATAGTGGATGATTCGTCGGTCAGCCCCAGGACCAAGGAAACGAAGGGAATGGAAAGGGTTGAAAGAGAAGCGTGTGTAGAAAGTATGGTAGAGAAGAACAGATGGAACGGAATGACCCAGAGAACAGGTAACTTTGATCCAATTTTTTCTCTTGACTTTTTGATCTGGGGGAGGGAAGTATGAAGTATAGGGGGATCGTGACTTACTATATAGAAGGTAGAATCGGGAGTGGGGGGGGCAAGTGAGAGATCGATAGATGGATAAGAGGACAATGGGATAGGAAGATCAGCGATTAGACAAGTGGATCAGAGGGTTAAAAGAGTTTAAGAATGAACGATAAGAGTGAGAGATGGAGAGACAATGGAGGGGGAGGAAAAGAAGCAGTAGAGGGAAAGCTGGGTCTTTTATGGCACGATGACGTTGATTTCATTATTATTATTTTGATTATTTTATTTTTACTCTCCAAATAATACAATGGATTATTATCTGGGATGCGATACAGGATCATACAGATAATTACGCGGACTTCCCTGCTGCTGGTAATTTTGAGCACTGAAGATCTGCAATCTAACCGGATTAGGGGTAGTCCGCGCTAGCTGGGATTTGGTGGATAATTCTGTGGATAACTTGGGTGAAGAACGGGCTAGACCCGTTTCGATCATCGCTTATAATAGCATTCGCATTAGCCTGGACATTCAACATTTTACCTCCAACATTAGAAATCAACAGTCTGGATGAGTCAATCCTATCTGGTAGACATCATCGGACACTCGTATTGGTCTCAAGTTAGTTGCTGCGTCGGGCTTCTGAGTACCATGATTACTATGATTTCATGGATCGGTATGGACTACAATGGAAACATGACTATGGACTATGGACCACTAAGGTATCTACAGACTACGAAGGAGATAGCCTAGGGCTACCAATCATACGTCTCAGTTTCCACAGACTCAGCCACATTGGAGAGATCCCGTCCGATCTCGTGTAAATTGAATTTTTCAAAATCAAAGAATAGATAAATAACAAGCCCATGGACCCTTACAGTCTCAACATGCATAAGTGAGGTCACACCGCAGTATTTTCCCTTCTTCTTTTCTTCGACTGGTGATGGGTGGAGTCAGAGGAAAACGCGGGTAGATCATTCCTCCCATCAGCCACAGAAGCGAGATCCATCTCCTCGGCTTTCACCTTACCTTTCATCCCGGCTGAGCCACGTTGCCTGTGGCTAGAGTGCCGGAGTGAGCGACTGCCATCCATTGTGCTGACTCACCCCCATACCAACCCACCTGCATTATTTTGATTTTATTTTTTATTGACGGAGTTCCCCGGCAGCAACAGTAATGATTTCATCATGATTACACTGCTTTGTCTTTTTCTATCCCAGTCGACAGCATTCTCCTATCCAGGTTTTATTTTTTGTTTTATTTTTTATTCCCTTTTATGTTCTCTTCCCAACAAGTTTTTTCAAGTCTAGTTTTTCTTGTTAGTGTTGTTATCTATAGAACCACCGACAAACCAAGGCCTTCATCGGCCGAATAACTTACATCGTTCTAAACCGACGAAGGTAGGTAAAAATAAAAGTTCTGACTTGTTTCCCGGCCATGATTCGGCCGGTCGGGCTCTTGCAATACGGTACCATACGTACGGCCGCAACGGGTCCGAGCTCCGAACCCTTGCCGAACTGGGCCTTTTCGGCCGTATTGACTTTCTCCAAGGGAGGAAGTTATGCCATGCCATGCCATGCGATGCCATGCCGTGCCATGCCATGCGCCAGCTGACTCGTCCATGGCATGACAAACCGTTCTTTTAGGGTCTCAGGTACTGGATAGAACAGTCTGGATACTACCCTATATTTCTGGCCACATGACCTTTGAGTCAGTCTCACCACTGACTAGTATCTCTTGGTTGTTTGTTTGGGGAAGAGACAGGGGTTGGTCGAGTTCTTTCACATGTATTCGTTATCCGTCTGGGGTTGAATAAAATACAATACTATAAGATCGGCATAAAACAGAATAAAACAGAAAATAAATTATCAAGTAATCAAGAGAGAAAGAAAAGAGGGAAAACTCGTGGCAGTCCTGACCCATGCACAAATCGTAGCGCAGATAAACTATGTCGATCTTAGTTACTGTCAACGTTAGTTCAGCCTAGGTCGACAGGTGGGACTCGGTATTAGGCAGTATCATTTATGATTTATGCTCAGCAGCACAGGACTGAACCCTTCAACCTGATTGAAGAGCCTCTCGGACATGCCCACCAACCAGATAGGACTGTTCCACTGTGAGGATAGGATCTCCCTGTGCCCCGGACCCAACCTGGAGCCAGAGACCCACTGGGACAACGTGAACTGGCTGGAACATGAAGACGACAGCTGAAACCGGTGGCGAGAGCTGCCAGGTTCTGACTTGGTACCTGAGTTACCTTTCCCGTGGGAAACTTGACGTCTGTCAGAGTTGTCAGTCAGTTAGGGAGTGAGTCACCGGGGGAGTCGGGGCAGACCCGGACTGATTTTTTCTTTCTTTTATTTTTATTATTTATTATTTATTATCTTATTTTATTTTATTATTTTACAGGGGTCCACACACCATGACAGTTATACCAGTCTGAGTTCAGTCCCAGTATCATTGGCGGGATTGCCTTCCTACGAGATACCTACTTCGTCCCTAGTCAGTATACTAAGAACTAAGCGGGGAAGGGTCTGAGTGGATAATGGTATTCCATATTAAGAGCTGGGAGGGAGATCGGACGGTACCACTCCTAGTCTACTACTAGTATCTACCAGTGCCATACTATCCATTACCGAGAGGCAGTACCAGGCTGAAAACCACCCCCCAGACACATCGAGAATGTGTTTTTGAGCGGAAACCGGAGGTTTCATGACGGACATAGACAGCCGGTATGCTGTCCGGGATAAAAACCTTTTCATTGGTGGGAGGGTTTTTGCAGGGGTTGGGATGAAGGTCAGCACTTTAACCGGTGGATTGGTTCTACTTACTACGGGTAGATAGAAGCTGAATACAGCATTTGTAATATTACTACATATTATTGATGATATGTAATACGTAGATGATGATAACATGATCGAATGTCTAATACAAACAGTTCAAAAAAAAAAGAGAATCCATATTATGCATGATTTGAAAATTCAATATGTACATTGTTGGCAAGAATAAGGAACGCGCACGCACCTTCGAGAAGGGTTGAGTGCACAGCCACAGCGGAAAAGTCGCTTCGACCTAAGAGACATTTCTGCATACCTGTACGGAGTACAGTTGAATACGATGGTATACGAGTCCGCAGGAGAAACGAAACTAGAAAAAAAAAAGAATACTATATAAACCAATGAAAGTGAAAAGAAAAGTCAATAAAACAAGCCTGAAAAAATCGAAACGGACACCCCGATCCCGATAGAAGAAGGAAACATTCCAGAATCTTTCTAATTTTGGGTCTGTATAACACTAACCCCGATCGGGCCACCACCTGCATAAAAGCCTGCATGAAGGGGGGCCGCATGGGCAGCAACTGCTGGCCGAAGGGTGTTGTCCCGCGCTAGAAAGGAAGAAATTTTTCCATGCAGCGTTCTAGTTCGTTCGACCTGCATGTAGGTTCGGTGTGACTGTTCCCCTTTTCCGAGTTCCGGGTTTTATGGCTTGTAACCTTGATGCCGACTTTCGGTCTTGTGAGATGGGAGCGAGGCTAAGCGAGGACTTGATCTCCGCGGGGTATTATCCTTGTTCTTTCTTGGTTTGTACTCATCCTTATTTTTTTTTATCTGTGTACTCTGTACTCCGTACTGGTATTCTGATTATTGTTATGTAGATGAGCGATAATATCGCAGGTGTCGTCGTCATATCCTGCGACAAGTACAAATCTATGTAGAATGACGGAGGAGTATGTACTATCCTATGTACATTTAACTGTACACTTGTGTGCACAGTGTACAGATGTACAGATCGGCCCGGTCGATCCTCGGCCGGCAACGACGGCAGTTGCATTTGCGACCGGGGAGAAACCATCCATCCATCTGACTCCTCAGCCTTGCATCCGTCAATACTACCCAATAAGTTCAGGCCACTAGGGACTACCCAGCAAGCTAGCTAATACTAGCCTTGATACTTGATATCCTCGTGCCAGTCAGTAGTTACTAGTTAGTGGTTACTTTAGACTGTCTCAGTATCCACACTACCTAGTGTCAACGTCGGGTAAAAATATCTTTCTGGATCAAAAGGTTCAGATAAGCGACAACCTTGAGACAACGTCTTTCTGTTTTTTATCTTTTATCTTTTATTTTTTTCGGCGTGGATGTTTCCTAATCTGTTCATGGCTGTCAGCTTATGTCTGATTCCCTACACGGAGTACGACTCTATACTACTACGATCCTACTAGGTATTACTACCTAAGAAACAACATACTGACCTCGGTTCTAACAAACCATCCTGGTATCCAAGTGAGCACTTCTTTCTCGAGGCTATAGTTAGTGAGTCATGTGGATAACCAGCACAAATAATCCTATTCCATTCCATAAGATTATGCACATGTTTTATTCCATTCCATTCCATGCATTCATCATTTTCCCATTCTATCCATCTATGTAGGTATACAGGAAATGTATAAAAAAAGATTTTCCCATCGGCTGATCAGACGAAAAAAA